GCAGCTGAAGGCTGGCCACGTGCTTTCCGGGGCCGACAACCTGCCGAGCGGCCTGGCCGATGCAGCTGCTGCGGGGACCCTGCCCCGCCCCTACTGCTACGAGATCAGCCTCACCACGGGCTCGGGCAACAGCGAGTTCAGGTTCCTCAAGCCCTTCGTCCCCAGCCTGCCACCACAGCCCTGTGCCATGGGTGAGGGCACCGGTGCGGATCAGGTTTTCCCTTGTGTCCCTGTCCCCACAGAGGACGTGACCCCAGACAATGCTGGGACTGTGTCTGCAGAACAGTTCAATCGTCTTTCCTTTAACTAGCACAGGGTCAGCACAGGCAGAGGCTTCATGCCTCGTGGTAGGGAGGGATGCAGCCTACAGTAATGGTTCTTCCAGAAGAAATCTCTACTTGCAATTGGCATAACAAAATTCTCGAAAATTTTAAGTCAAGGAATGCCTGTGTTCCCCTAAAGTAAACAAGGAAACAGAAGAAAGGGAACCAAAGCTCTTTCACTCAGACATTCATGTTTCAGGTCTGTTAAGGCTGTTCCTTATAGGCTTTAGGAATGCAGTTAGCTCTCCCAGCTGAGCTTTTGTCTCTCTTGCTATCAGACAAGACTGTGGACACTTAATTCTGTTCTGTAATAGTGTGGCACAGAAAATGGGACAGACAAACTTCATCATTGCTGAAATGCACAAAGACCTTTTCCCAGCTCAGGAAAATGAAGAAGTTGTCACTGCAGAGTCACAAAGACATGTGAATACTGGGCTCTTCCTTTCCTGGGTTCCAGAGTTGTTTGGCTGAGATGTCTGGGCCCTGTGTCTTTTGCTTTCTTGTCACCACTCCTGTCGATTCGTAGCTAGTGCTGCCAGGTTTATGAGGCAATTGCTTCCATTCAGCCACTGCAATGCAGCCAATTCCAGCTCAGCTGGCAAGGAGGGTCTCTTGACTCTGAGAACCACAACAGTCACATCTTCTCCAGGGCAGGGCAGGGCAACAAAATGCACAATAAGATCTTCCTTTGGACAGTGAGAGTGGGTTGGGTGTTCTGTCTCCTTCCAGTGCAGCAGCACAGGTAGTGTTTGGTCAGACTGTAACTGTTCCGAGTTGTGAAAGCACGTTCATTGTGTTTGGGTGCATTGCATGCAAACTCCACATGTCTTTCAAAGAGCATTTTCTAAAGGTAGAATCAAGATGAGCTTATGAAAAGGACTTTGATTTGATCTCCTCATTGTTGTTCCTAAATTCACAGAATTGAACTGGTAAGCTGTCCCTGCATGATTTTCTGGGTTTGTGTTACAGCGTTTGTATTCTCCTTTCATCTATAGTAATTGATTCCTTGAATGAGATCTGTGATAAACGGAATATTCGGAAAGCCCCACACTTTGTTGTGCCGAAGTTGTAAACTGCAGCACTGTAAACTGGGATACTTCTGATTGTAAAAACTGAAATAATGTGTAAGACTGAAATAAAGAGAACACCCATATTCCTTGTGTGGAGACAGAAGCCTTTGTAGAGAAGTTCTTTCTGGGAAAGGTGTATCAATGATTTTCAGGAGTATGGGAGTTATTTTGTCAGTGTGCCATTACTGAGATAATGTTGGCTGGTTATATGTGTTGAGTTTGGAGATGCAGCCGATGGAGTGTTCAGTACAATGCCCGAGCTGTTACCGGTCGGAGGCTTTGAACCTTTTGCTCTCTTTGGTGGTTCACTCTTTTCGGGCTCAGAATCTGTATCATACTGTGTTGGGAAACGCCTTGTGCCGCTTTTCCCTCGCAGTTTCTCGAAAGGCGCTGGCATGCGGGCCGCGAGCCGAGCGCTCACGGCTTCCCGTGGGCTGTGGGCAGCGGAGAGCGTGAACAAAGGTAAGGCACGTGCCGCAGCTTATCCCTGTGACCGTACGCAAGCGGTGCTCCCTCAGGGCTCAACTCGACCCTTGCCGGTATATTCATTCCTCGCTTTGAGGTGCGTGCGTCCTCCCCCGGGCTCACCCGCGGGCGATCGGCCGCCCCGCGCGTGTGCGCGCGTGTCTGTGGGCCGGGGCGAGCGGCAGCGCGGGCAGCGAGCGGCGGCGGGCGCAGTCCCAGCGCGCACCGCTGGGTGGTGGTCTCGGCTAAGGCGCCGCCGACACCGACCCAGCGCAGCCCAGCTCAGCACAGCCAAGCCCAGCCCAGCTCCCAACAGCCGAGCCGGGCCGAGAGAGCAGCGGCTGCGCCACCGAGACCCGTTCTCTGCCATCCGCTGCCGGGCCAGAGCGGCCGCACTCCGGATTGCCGACCCCACTGGAATACAGAGGGAGAAGGAAGGCACCCGGACGCCGCCGCTACTTTCTGTGGGGATTACGCGAGAGATCTGCGACAAGGAGACAGGACTCCGCGGCTGCCGCCGCCGCAGCCGCCGCTACCGGAGCCGGAGGGCCATGGCGATCGCAAGGCAAGTGCTTTGTGTGTGTGCGTTGCTCTCCCTGCCGCTCGCTCGCTCGCAGCCCATCCGCTACTCCGTAGCCGAGGAGGCGCACAGCGGCTCCCTGGTAGGCAACCTGGCGCAGGACGCGGCGCTGCCGCCGGCGCAGCTCTCGG